TTGATTGATAATAGGATCTTTGCCTTCTTTCAAAGCACCTGGTCGGAATACCAAAGGCGCGTCCAGACCAGAGAATGTGGCGTTGGAAAGACATTCGTAGCCATCTTCCAAGTTGCGGCATCTGGATCCAGTTGGACAATCTTGGAGTTGGCAGAATTCGATGTCTTCGCAACGTTTGCCTTTGTAACCACGAGTGCATTCGCACCTGGTAATAGACAGATAAACAAGACGTTATTGAATTATATAATACTTATAATTTATTTCTTTAACTTACTGGAAGTCGTTCCAAGTATTTGCGCAAGTAGCATTATGTTTGCAAGGAGAATGTCTGCATAAGTCGTCTGAAATGACACCTGCCAACCTGATTCAGGATGGAAGGACACCTGGCCAAACGGAGGTGGTACCACCAAATCAGGAACACGCAGGGGAAATAGTTCGACCACCATTGTATGAGAACCATTACGGATCTAAAATTAAAAAAAGGTCAAAATAATTGTTAACGCCTCATTCCCCAACCCTGGTCTAATTATTATATTTTCTTGCCTACATGTAGGATAGCGATAATAAACCCTCATTCCTTTTATTATTACGCATCCTGTCGCAAAATCAGTAATCCATTTTTCCTAGAATTTTTATCACCTGTCCCTGACTAATATCATACTATCATCCTTATATTTCCAAGAAATTCGCACTACCTGTATCCAGTTTAAATTCTCCGTATCATGCAATTTATCAACCAATACCTGATCGGTTGATAAATGTAATAACCACTGATTGGTTCCAAAATTGTAATGGGGTGTCCTTAACTCCACAAAATGGGCCAATCAGAAAAATATATAAAATTATAAAATCTACATAATTGAGTATCAACTTAAATTTCATATAGCTAAGATCAGTCGTAAATGAACATTCAATAACATATCATCTATAAATCTTAATATTACAAATACACAACAATTAAACAGTTATTCATCATCTTTTATTCAACATCTTTTATTTTTATTCAAACGGTCTGATATAGCCAACAACTAAATATATCTGGTCCTTCGGCAAAGTGCAAGTGTTCAATAGAGTTCGGCAGCATCCAGATAGATCACGAACTTCTTAAACACTTTGAACCTATCTCAACAAATACTTTTTTGGCCATTCAAACCGAATGGTCATTTTAATAAACAATAATTAAAGGAGTGCAATTTTGCGATGCTAATATTACAATTTTACTTATTGTTAGAATAGTGATGTCTTTCACTATCTTGTTCTAATATATAAAATTAAACTAGTTCTAATATATAAACAAAATCGTGCCTTAAGGCAAACTGCTGGAACTTCCCGTACCGTAACGAAATGTTCGATGAATATTGAATGTTTTCAAATAGATTATTATCAATATTGTAACATTGTCTAATATTTATAAGAATTATATAAACTGAATTGCAGAGTTGAAATTATTTGTTTAAAGTATATTAGAACTATAGTCGGAATTAAAAATAAAATCTGAATTATTTTCGATATACAAAAAATTAAAAAAAAAAAAAAATGGAACAAAAATTTTTTTTCCAAAATCAATTATTTTGTTAAGACAAGCAGAAAGTTCTTTGAATCAATTGAATCGGACGCTTAGTTCTCTCAAAAACAGCCATTTTTTGTACATTTAGCTCCGTATCTTCGAAATGGCTGGGCCTGCCTTTGCAAAAAACTAACAACCACTTCTCCCAATCATTACTAATTGAATATTTTTAGGTCATTCAAATCAGATGCTCCGTTCTCTCAAAAACTCGATTTCTATACTCTGCACTCTTTGCTCTTTATCTCCGTAACTGCTGGACCTGCCTTTGCCAAAAGCTAATCAGCACATCTCCTTATCAATAGGAATCGAATGTTTTTTAAACCATTCAAATCGGTTGATCCGTACGCCCGAAAACGTGGGCGAAAAATTGTATCCATACATACATACATACACACACACACACATCCATTTTTCTGAAGTATGCCAAAATGTTCAGAAACCTTCAAAACGTCGAGAAATGTAAAAATTTTCAATTCCGATTTTCGGCCCATTACAATAACTTACCCTACGGGAAGTTAATATGTACAAATATTTAAATTATATATTTACCTGGACATCCTGAATAATTCCTTTGAAATCAGTTTGTATATCAGGAGCTGCTTGTCGTTTGACTTTCACTTCTTCTTCAATTGACTGAGGCACTCCACCTAAATATAATACCTGAAAAATAGAATCATTATAGGATATAATTATATTTAGTTAAGAATTCATCTTTATCAAACACAATTTCATAAATTTTTTGAGACAAACTAAACTTTCGAACAGTTTGTGGTAAGTAAAAACTATTAAGGAGGCGACTATTGATCATTTACCTGTGCATCCAAATGCCCAGTGGAAGAAATAGTCTTTCTGAAGTATTCACTGCCGTTCAATTTCACATGCACCAATGTTAAATTACGAACAACCTGCAAATAATAAATATTCAGAACATGTACCAAAAAAGACAACCCAATTAAACTAAAAGCTGTTCCTTTACCTCTATCAAATGGTTGTAACCGTTATCCAGTTTATTTCCTCCGACAGTGTAGGATTCAGGAGTTCCATTAAATTGTATACTAACTTGCAACTCTCCACCTTTTAATTGAGCAGAAATGTAGGAGTGATCTGGAGCTGATATGGGTTCATCTGCTGATATTGGACTTCCAAGGTAAAATAACTAAAAAAAAGATAACTAGTTGGTATTGGTATTTAGCCTTGAGGCAAGTTACATGAACTTCCCGATATGTGTAAATAATATACTTCATCAATCCTGCTTTAAAAAAAACGATAATAATTTTAGCAAAGTTTGACGAATTTTTAAAATTAAACTACTTGTTGTAAGGCCGTAATATTACAGTAAGTTCTATAAGACCATGATGTATATCGCCAAAAAAAGTTCTATGAAAATCGGCTTAAATTTTTTTTTCAACAGTTAATTACAAGAAAACGGCTCGGTAGATTTTCACCTAAGATTAATCAGTATCATTTCCAACTAATATCTTTAACAGTTTTTGATTTTTTAAAATCGGTTCAGTAGGATGAGCTTAAATGTGGACGAAAAGTTTAACACTTTTCTCCAAATTGCAAAGAAACGGCTTAGTAGATCGTCACACAAAACTGACAAACGATAGTCCTCACCGAAATACATCAAATAGCTTTTAAATTTCTAAAATCGGCTCAGGCGTTTTTGAGAAAACGTCGATCAAAAGTCTAATTTTGACAAATGCCAAAAAAACGATATCAATTTTTGCAAACTTTGACGAATTTTTAAAGCTGAACCTGTTGTCGTAGGACCGTAATATTTTAGTATGATCTAGAAGACTATATGGTATCTACCGTCAAAAAATAATCATAAAAATCGTCGAAATTTTTTTTTAAAAAACTTTATTACAAGAAAACGGCCCGGCCGATCTCTACCAAAAACTAATCAGCACGATTCCCAACCAATATCTTTCGAACGGTTTTTGAATTTTCAGAATCGAATCAGAATTGCGGGCTAAACGTAGACGAAAATTTTTTCACTTTTCTGCGATTTATTAAGAAACGGCTTGGCCGATCGTCGCACAAAATTGACAAACAATAGTCCTCATCGAGATACATAGAGTGGCTTTTAAATTTTTTAAATCGGTCCAGCCGTTTTCGAGAAAACGTCGATTTACGGCAAAAAATCTGTTCACATACACGCACACACACACACATACTTTTTCCAAATTTGGTCTCATTCGATTCAGAATGGCTTGAAACGTCGAGAAAACATAAAATTAGCGAATCGGATTTTTTGATGAAAACATAAACTTCTCCTTCGGAAAGTTAAAAAATCTTGTTTTCAAATTCTTTTGGAAATGGTGAACATTTATAGTAATTTTTATTACCTGTCCTGAATCCTGTCGTGTCCTGATAAACATAGATATATCCACAACAGATCTCACAGCTCGTCTAGCAGTATCACTGACATTCACCACAACCAAACTGTTAGATGTGTTCTCGTTTCCAAAGGTAGCAGCAGTGAAATCTAGAAAAATAAAAATAAAAGTAATAAACTACGTATTTCTCTCATATTTTTATAGTGTACTTACTATATTGGCACTTTTGTCCCAAGTAAGGTCTTTCGCAAGTGCATGAAAAGTTTCTCCATAAATCTGTGCAATGGCCACCTGAATAACAAGGATTGGGTTCACATTGTGGATCACGAGGACAACCCTCTGATACTTCAATTAAGGATGTAAGGGCTCCTGAACTATCTGGCAACGCCTGGTAAAGGAGAAAGGATATACAAAATGTTTGGCACAATAGTTAATGTCAATCAATTATATTATATTTACCCATTCTCCGTTGATGATGACATCTTGAGTGCATCCAACAAACGAGTGTGAACCCTGGACAAGACTTTTAAACCGGCTAACAGTTCCACCTAAATGTGTTTCGGGAAAACTGGTGTAAAGTGTGGTCGTTCCTTCACTTAAAGAAATTGGATAAATAGTTTGTTCTTCGTTGGCTGCCAAAACTAAATGTGATGTGTTGATTGCGACAAACACCTAAAAAATAATTAAAATTAAATAATTTTACTGCGTTATTTAGTAATAATTCAATTTATTACCTTCTGCCAGTGGCTATTATTAAGTCCAGATCCAATAAAGACTCCCTCCCATTTATTCAGCAAGGATGTCCTCAAATTCAGTCGACCGTTGGTTAATTCTAAGATGTAGAAAGTCAATCCATTTCCAATTGCCAGCAGTCCATTTGGTAAAGTTGTTTTAAATCTAAATTGAATATCATAGCCCTCATCACGTGTGGTGTTGACGATTACATAACTGGAGCCCATGTAGGACATTGTGGTAATCTGCAAAATAAATAATAAATAATAACTAGTGGTGTGTGGCATCGTGCCTTAAGGCAAATTGCTGGAACTTCCCGTACCGTAATTAACATATTAATGAAAATAATCAATATTTGTTTTAAATAATTTCAAATACATTATTTATTATATAATTATAGTATAGTATTCTATAAACAACTTTGTGTATGTTTATAACAAATTTGTTTTTTTTTTAATTTGATTTTTTTTTTGATTTATATTTTCTTTCAAAATTTCTAGATTTTTTCAGAAGTTTGAACATTTTTGGATTTTTTTTGCAAAAAAACGTTTTTTTTTTTAACTTTTTGACTATTTGGAAATTCTTGAAAATATTCGATTTTTTTGAAAATTTCGAAATATTATCAGATATTTGTAACAAATCGTTTTTTTTTAAATTTCGGTATTTTTTGAAATTGATGAAATTTGAAAATGATGAAAAATTCGAAAATTTGAATTTTTTGAAAATATTATTTTTTTAACTTCCCGTAGGGTAAGTTATAGTAATCGGAATAAAATCGATAATGAAAATTTTTATATATCTTTACGTTTTAAAGGTTTCTGAATATTTTGGCATACCTTAGAAAAAATGGATGTATGTGTGTGTATGTGTGTGTGTGTATGTGTGTGTGTGTATGTGCGTGTGTGTGTGTGTGCGGATACAAATTTTCGTCGGCGATTTCGGGAACACCGATCAACCGATTTAAATAATTCAAAAAACATTCAATTCGTTTTGATAAGGAGACGTGCTGATTAGTTTTTGGCAAAGGCAGGTTTAGCCGTTCTGAAGATATGGGGCAAAAAGTGCCAAAAACGGTAACTCAGTTTTTAAGAGAACAGAGCGTCCGATTTTAATAATTCAAAAAACATTTTACTTGTAAATTTTCATGAAAGCAGGTCTAGCGGTTTCGGAAATCTAGTAAAAAAAGTAAAAAAAGCGCCATTTGGCGGTCAAAAATGATCATTGAACATATGCACATCAAATTATCAGATATTTTATAGAGATTTTAACAATAAGTATAAATTTTGTTTGCATTCCTATGGGTTCCGTACCAATGTTTATTCGTTAGACGGCGACGCGGCGCTTACGCGTTTTGACATTTTGTCTCTATGCAGTTAAAGCAGTACGATTGCTTTGAAAAAAAATTCAGAATTTCCAAAATATGTCAAAATAAAGAAAAAATTTTTTCCAAATTCTTTTTTCAAAAAAAGTAATTTTTTGTCAAATTCATAGTTTCTTAAAAATCTAATTTTTTCGAAATTTAAATTTTTTCAAAAATGTGTATCGTTTTTAAAAGAATAATAATATTTGGTACGGGAAGTTCCAGCAATTTGCCTTAAGGCTAGATGCCATGCGCCCCACTAGTTTTTTGAACAATTTCAAAATTACGAAATTTTATATAAAAGCATTTTTTTCACATTGTCCACCCAAGGAAAATCGTCCACAAAAATTTGTTTTTTTTATTTATTTATTTTTATTTATTTATATATATATATATATATATATATATATATATATATATACATTATTTTCATATCTCAGACAGACAGGATGTATGGTTCCTCACATACATCCATTCTAAGGTATATCAAAATGTTCAGAAACCTTTGAAACGTAAATATATGTAAAAATTTTCATTTTCGATTTTTTGCGATTACTATAACTACCCTACGGGACGTTAATAAAGGGATTCTTCAAAGTTCTTATTATTAATAATGTACAATATATACCTTTTCGCAATTACCCCCTTGGTATCCATTAACACAAGTACAATTGAATCTGTGTTCCGTCTCATTGATGACGTAAGGTGAGCAGGTTCCCTGGTGCAAACAAGGTTCTCCGTGGCACCCTGTCAGGGCAACTGTGCAATTGACGCCGCCCCAAGAAGGTTCACATTCACACCTGTAGGTCGCACGTTCGTCGTAACATCGACCATGAAGACAAGGTTCATATCTAGAAAATATAAATTTAAGACTTAAGAACTTATCAATAAAAGTATTTTTAACACTAGATATACCAGCCGTTTGTCAAAATGATATTATGAATGTCAAAACTGGTCTTAAATACCAGTCAAAATGACTGGTCTCTAAGATAACATATTTATTGTGTTTTTAAGTTGAACAAAACTAATTACAGCTGTTAAATAAACTTATAGATATTGTCAAATAACAAAATATATTAATTTGAATAGTTTTACAGTACTTTAGCGCAATACTCAATAAAAGTGTCCGGCAGCACCCACTTGTTTGCGCGTAAAATTACAGCTACCGACGTGTTTTTAGATTTTAATTTCAATGCCATATAAATAATAATAAAAATAATATCGGTTATTGCATTTATACCCTTCATGGTATATGTTTCAAGAATTTTCATTACTACAAATTTGCTTAGATGGGTTGATTCTTCGTCTTTTGCTAAATACCATATTTGTTTCTACATCAGATGTCAGACAGAATTTTATGTAAATTTATAGTTTCTTTGGCATTTACTGGCTAAATATGCTTCTGGCATTTGTTGGAAAATGTTATTCAACCAAAGTGATATGAGCTCTCGGTTTGAAGCAATTTTTGCTATTTTCTATAATTTGTTCCAAACGCGGGCTTTTTTTCTATAAATTTGGCCTGAGTATGTGTCTGAAAGCTCTTTGAACTTCTAATCTATCTGCAAAACCTATTTCACTCTACTACAACTCTTGTTCAAATAGTTTCGTCCAAACTAATTTTAGTTTCCTGATTTGGTGCATTACTTCCAAATTCGTCTTCAGAATTGGAAAAAAGTGGCTCGCATTGTCTCATACGTTTGTTTGTGATATCTAACCATTTACTAACGTACTTGATCCATCTGTATTATCTTTATCACGAAAATTTCCCATTTCTACAGTCGATAATAGCACCGCCTTGTGGATTGAATTGATTATCTAAAAATTCACTGTCACTATCATATATTTCCAACCCTAGGTCCAAACATTTCAAAAAACCGCTAATGCTATTTTCCAAACAAGCTAAAAAACATTGTTTCCATTCTTTTTTCAAAGACTGACAGTCGCTATAAAAATAAGTCGAAAACATGGCAGTTTTCTCGTTTATAGTTTTTTTTTACTCAAGAATATATTTTTGAAAATTTCTGTGTCCACGGAATATTACTTACTTGTATTAGTGTAGAAAAAGAATAAATAATTATACTTGAAAATCACTTTGAATAAAATTTTATTTAGTGTGTTTGAACGAAGATCGAAACAATTGTTTTTTTGGTAAAAATCTAGTAATACTTTAGCAATCTGCATTTTTACAATGTAAAAAAGAATAAAGAATAAATAATATATATTGTAATCAATAAGAGAGTAGGGGATAAACGCATACGATCTATGGCTATTGTTATTTCGGTTCTTTTATCAAACATTTTCTATAGAAACTTGCACCAGTCATTTTGACTGGTGCTGGTACAAGTAGTAGTAACAAATTTATTTTTGTTACTAATATATATAAAGTAACTTTGATTGCACAAAATGATTTCTATACTTATAACTTAAAAAGGCATAACTTCATTTCACAAAACAAATTTTACATATAATGGGAATTTTGAATAGAAAGTGTCCAACCAGTCATTTTGACTGGCGTGGCATATCTAGTGTTAATAAATATGGTCCTTACCTTTCACATTCGTCGATATCGATTTGACAATGAATGCCTTCAAAACCAGGATGGCAATCACAGACGTAGCTTCCAATTAAATCTTTACAGTTTCCGTGAAGACCACAAGGACTGCTTTCGCATTCATTGATGTTGATCTCACAATTTCTACCAGTTGTACCATAGTTACAACTGCACTCGTAACTAAAATATAATTAAAACTTGTTGAAAGTGGCATCGTGCCTTAAGGCAAATTACTAGAACTTCCAGTACCGTAATGAAATATTCGAGAAATTTTAAACGTTTTCAAATATATTAATACAAATACTCTGTAACTTTCATTATTTTTGCTATCTTGTTATATCTGAGCAAATCAAATGTCAAACATAAATCAATTTATCTCCAGAATATTAACAATCGTCATTTTATTCCGAATTCAATTTAAAAAAAAAAAAATAGTTGCCTTAATTAATTTGCACAAAATTGAAAAAGTGCCCCCGTATAGTCACAGTCTAAACGCATTTGCAAATAATTCTGTGCGACATTTTCACTTATACTCTGTTTAGCTTGGCGGCATTTTCACATTTTTCAATAGTTTTCACAAAATTGGAAAAGTGCTTTAACACATAAATAGTCTAAACGCACTTGGGTAAACATTTGTACCAGAGTGGCGCTTAGACTGTGCTTAGCCTGGATCATTTTTGAATTTTTAATCCAAAATTACAAAAATGTTTTATGAAAATAAAAAAAAAATGTAATATTCTTTATCCTCAAAAGCAATTGTTTTGTCAATACAAGCAGAAAGTTTTTTAGATCATTCAAATCGGACGCTTAATTCACTCAAAAACTGGCATTTTCTACACTCTTTGCTCCGTATCTCCGTAACGGCTGGACCTGCCTTTGCCAAAACTAATCACCACATCTCCCTATCAATAGGGATCGAATGTTTTTTAAAACATTCAAATCGGTTGATCCGTGCGCCCGAAAACGTGGACAAACTAGTTGGTTTGGTATTTAGCCTTGAGGCAAATTACATGAACTTCCCGATATGTGTAAATAATCGACTTGATCAAAAAAATGTGTAAATAATATACTTCATCAATCCTACTTTAAAAAAAACGATAATAATTTTAGCAAAGTTTGACGAATTTTCAAAATTAAACTACTTGTTGTAAGGCCGTAATATTACAGTAAGTTCTATAAGACCATGATGTACACGTATATCGCCAAAAAAAGTTCCATGAAAAACGGCTTAATTTTTTTTTTAACAATTAATTACAAGAAAACGGCTCGGTAGATTTTCACCTAAAATTAATCAGCATCATTCCCAAATGATATCTTTCGAACAGTTTTTGATTTTTTAAAATCGGTTCGGTAGGATGAGCTTAAATGTGGACGAAAATTTAACACTTTTTTTCAACAGTTTCAAATTTAACACTTTTTTTCAACAGTTTCACGGCTCGGTAGATTTTCACCTAAAATTAATCAGCATCATTCCCAAATGATATCTTTCGAACAGTTTTTGATTTTTTTAAATCGGTTCGGTAGGATGAGCTTAAATGTGGACGAAAAGTTCAACACTTTTTTTCAAATTACAAAGAAACGGCTTGGCAGATCGTTGCACAAAACTGACAAACGATAGTCCTCACCGAAATACATCAAATGGCTTTTAAATTTCTAAGATCGGTTCAGGCGTTTTTGAGAAAACGTCGATCAAAAGTCTAATTTTGACAGATGCCAAAAGACCATACTGATTTTTGCAAACTTTGACGAATTTTTAAAGCTGAACCAGTTGTCGTAGGGCCGTAATATTTTAGTATGACCTAGAAAACTATGGTATCTATCGTCAAAAAAATAATCATAAAAATCGCCAAAATTTTTTTTTTAAAAACTTTATTACAAGAAAACGGCCCGGCCGATCTTTACCAAAAACTAATCAGCACGATTCCCAACCAATATCTTTCGAACGGTTTTTGAATTTTCAGAATCGATTCAGAATTGCGGGCTAAAACGTGGACGAAAAATTTTTCACTTTTCTGCAATTTACAGAGAAACGGCCCGGCCGATCGCCGCACAAAACTCAGAGACGATAGTCCTCATCGAGATACATCAAATGGCTTTTAAATTTTTGAAATCGGTCCAACCGTTTTGGAGAAAACGTCGATTTACGGCAAAAAATCTGTTCACACACACACACACACACACATACACACACACACACACACACACATACTTTTTCCAAATTTGGTCTCATTCGATTCAGAATGGCTCGAAACGTCGAGAAAACATAAAATTAGCGATTCGGATTTTTTGATGAAAACATAAACTTCTCCTTCGGGAAGTTAAAAATGCGGACATACAAAACACACACACGTCCATTCTTCTGAGGTATGCCAAAATGTTCAGAAACCTTCAAAACGTCGAGAAATGAAAAAATTTTCATTTTCGATTTTCGGCCCATTACTTTAACTACCCTATGGGAAGTTAACTAGGTGTAAGTTGCTTTAAGGCGAGCTTCAAAAACTTCGCAATAAGTGTAATAATTGACTTAATCAAACGAAATTGGGATTGCTTATTTACTAAACTTTTACTTCGTTAATTTTAAACGCTTTATGACTAATTATAAATATATTATTATTGGGACTAAACTGAACTAATATTCTAAGATGCTCGATTGATAAAATATGTAAATCTGAATGCTTTTCATTCAAATTTTGGACTGTGGTATTATTTACTCTTCATGTGTGCATTCTTTGTATTTAACATACCATTCACAATTTGTATGCTATCTACATTATCTTCAATTTTAAAGCTGTTTGGATTTAGTTGATAAGTATTATTCTATTCTACACTCTGTTTATTTCATGCTTTGTTAAATGTTATTTTTACGGAAATAATAGATTGTAAAACATTATGAATAATTGTAAATAATTATTTATTGCATATCTTATAATTCACCTTTGATTTGGAAATCGGTCCAGTCGTTTCAGAGGAAACGTCGATTAAAGGTAAAAAACCTGTTCACATACACACACACATACTTTTTCCAAATTTGGTCTCATTCCATTCAGAATGACTTGAAGGAATAAAATTAGCGAATCGGATTTTTTGATGAAAACACACTTCCCCTTCGGTAAGCTGATACTAAATGAGCATATATATTTTGACTTTGCATAAAAGCTAGTTGTTTCTTACCCGCTAGCATTTTCATACGTAAAGACTCCATTGAATACTTCAGGAAGTAAAATTTCAGAATTATGAATATAAAGCGACTGGTCACTCCGCTCCAAACAAGTACCACCAAACTGACAAGGCATGCTTTCACATTCGTTTATATCTTCTTCACAATTTTTACCTGAAAACAGCATTGATAAAAAATACAATGCGAAAAAATATACCAATCATTTATGTTATTACCTCTATAACCAGGATAGCAGACACAATCATAGTTGTTGATACCATCTTCACATTTACCACCATTCAAACAAGGTGAGCTCATACATTCGTCTATGTTGATTTCACATAAGGATCCCATAAAACCTGTGCCTTCGCAGTGGCAAGTAAAAGAAGCTCGATGGTCTTCGCAGACACCACCGTGTAGACATGGAGTACTCTAAAAGATAAAGGAAATATAATTTGTAGCACTGATTGGAAAAATATGATTTATTACCCTACCTCGCATTCATTTATATCAATTTCGCAATTCTGTCCAGTTGTACCAGGAGAACAGACACATTCGTATTTAGCCAAAAGATTTTGGCACGTTGATCCATTCTGACAAGGTGACGATTCGCATTCATCAATATCTACGTCGCATTGTTTACCTTTGAAACCAGGAGCGCAGACGCAAGCAAAATCGTTAACCTGGAATAAAAGAATTATGTGGCAAAATGTTTTGAATTATATTTTTTTTTATATAATATTTACCTTATTTACGCAAGTGCCGTGATGACAAGGTAGACTTAGGCATTCGTTGAAGTCCATGTCACATCTTTTACCTGTATAACCAGGTTCGCAGTAACACTGGAACGAACCGTTGCGATTTTGGCAAATACCATTGTTGCAAATTCCTGGTGTGTCGCATTCGTTCACGTCTGTCTCGCAATTCTTGCCTGGAGAAAAATAAAACAAAATGAGTCGACATTTCTAGAAAATTTTAATTATAAGCGTAAATATTTTCGAGTGAATTTTAATTATAAGTGTAAATTTTAATTAAAGTGTAAATTTCAGCTAGTGGTGTATGGCACCGTGCCTTAAGGCAAATTGTTGGAAATTCCAGTATCTCAATGAAATATTTGAGGAAACTCAAATGTTTTTAAATAGATTTTTACAAATACTGTAACTTTCATTATTCTAATTTTATACACAAAATATAAAAGTTTATGAATTGGACGACGACGTTTATTTAACTAAATTAATCGGATTTAAAATGAAGGACTTTATCTAATATTTATAAGAATTATATAAACTGAATTGCAAAGTTAAAATTAATTATTTGAAGTATATAAGAGATGTTTAGAGCTTTAGCTGGAATTAGAATTATAATCGGAATTATTTTCGATATTCAAAAAAAAATGTTTAGAAATAAAAAAAAGGAATTAAAAAAAATCCAAAAGCCATCGTTTCGACACAAGCAGAAAGTTTTTTTACATCTTTGAAGTCGCATCCTCAGTTCTTCTAAAAACTGCAACTTTTTGCAAACTTAGTTTCGTGTCTCCGAAACGGCTAGACCAACTTTTGCCAAATCTAATCACTAATCAGCACATCTCCTTATTAATAGGAATCGATTCTTTTTTTAATCATTCAATTCTGTTGATTCGTGCGCCCAAAATCGTGGAAGAAAAATTGTATCTATACATACACTCAAACATACATCTTTTTTAACTTCTCGTATTGTAATCGTCCAGAAATCAAAATTGAAAATTTTTACATTTTTTCACGTTTCGAAGGTTTCTGAACATTATGGCACCTCAGAAAATTGGCGTGTGTGTGTATGTATGTATGTATGGATACATTTTTCGTCCATGTTTTCGGGCGCACGGATCAACCGACTTGAATGGTTTAAAAAACATTCGATTTCTATTAATAGGAAGATGTGCTGATTAGTTTTTAGCAAAGGCAGGTCCAGTCGTTACGGAGATATGGAGCAAAGAGTGCAGAAAATAGAAATCGAATTTTTGAGAGAACGGATCATTTGATTTGTATGATTCAAAAGACATTCAGTTCGTAATGGGGGGAAAAGTGGTTACCAGTTTTAGGCAAAGTTAGGCTCAGCGGTTTCGGAGATACAAAGCTAATGTTAAAAAAAATGACAGTTTTTAAAAGAACTAAGCGTCCGATTTAAATGATCTAAAGAACTTTCTACTTGTTTCAACAAAATAATTACTTTCGGAAAAAAATGTTTGTTTCTAAATTTTTTTTTTCAAAAAATATTTTTGTAATTTTGGACTAAAAATCACCCAGGCTAAGCACAGTCTAAGCGCCACTCTGGTACAAATGTTTACCCAAGTGCGTTTAGACTGTTTATATACTGGAGCACTTTTCCAATTTTGTGAAAACTATTCAAAATGTGAGAATGCCGCCAAGCTAAGCACAGTATAAGTGAAAATGTCGCACAGAATTATTTGCAAATGCGTTTAGACTGTGACTATACAATTTTAATTTTGCATAAATTAGGCCACTATTTTTTTGGAAATTGAATTCGAAATGAAATGATGATTGGTTATGTTCTGGAGATAAATCGATTTATGATTTTACATTTGATTTGCTCAGATATAACAATAAGATAGCAAAAATAATGGAAGTTACAGTATTATACAGTCTCGAATATTTCATTACGGCACGGGAAGTTCCAGCAATTTGCCTTAAGGAACTATAATACATATTAATACACCAATAGTTTTCTAAGGTATGCCACAATGAAAACTTCGAAACGTGAGGATATGTAAAAATTTTCAATTTCGATTTTCTGACGATTATAATATAACATACCCTACGAAAAGTTAATTATACGGGTAAATTTTATAACCAGTTATGATTATTATTGGTTTTTAAAAATTTTAAAATTATACGAGTAAATTGTTTTAAAATGTAATTTTTATTTTACCTGTCCATCCACTAGTACATTCACAAGTATAATTCTGTGCCCCATACACCGGTTGTTCCTTACAAATTCCTTCGTTCTGACAAGGAATTGTCTGACAAGGCGTGATCACACAACCATTGGCAATCGTTTCTGGTGGACAAATACAAAGTCCATCTCTGGTGCAAACTTGTAGATTGTACATGGGGGCTCACATACTGCTTCAGGGGCTGGTAAACTTATTGTACGTTCGGTTTGTGTAAGTGAGAGGACGTTCACAGTACAAACCTGGGAAGGAATAAAAATATTTTTGGAAATTCAAAGGATGGGAATTAAATAATTAAATGGCAAGTTTTATTTCATGTTACCTGAATATCCCGGTGGACAAATACAGATTTCACCATTGTGCATATTTTGTTCGCAAGTGCCACCATTTATGCAAGGACAGGAAACCAGAGGGTTTTCGATAGGGGTCCCACTTGTACTTCGCAATGTGCTCCTGGAAATAAAAAATGGTTCCCAATCATCTGTTAGGTTTATATAGTGAAATATAACTTCTATGTTTAACCAGAAAACAGTTTCTAATCTCTAATAATTTATTTATCAATTATTACCTGCGTAGCCATTTGTACAAATGCAGATAGGATGCTCAGGTGTACCTCCGCAAGAACCGCCATGCAGACATGGTCCTCCTGGACAAACCGACAGAAGAGCCATACACATCCCTGAAGTACCTGGAAATAAATATTTGAAAATTTATTAATATATACTAGCTGACCCCGGCAAATGTTGTTTTGCTAGTAAGGTATATTTTAAACAATTTCTAGAGAATCAAAAATATTAATACTTAAGTGCATAAGGATGTGTTGTTTGAATGCTATATACAATGAAGAATTATAAAAAAAATAAATCCCATAGTATGTCTATATTTGTCAATACAATCAAACTGAAAGTTTTTATACTTTCTATAGAAAACATGGTTAAATCCAATCTTTTTGGTTTTTCGACTTATTGATTACATTTCAAGTTTTTCAGATTCTTTTTGGATTCTGGATTTTGTTATAATGGTAAATAATACTACTGAGCTTATACAAAATTTTCACATTTCTGCGAAGAGAGATAGAAAATGAATTAAGTATTTCTTCTTTGATCTGCTTTTTGAAAAGTTTCAAGTAATATTCGATGAACTAAAGTAAATTTAATAAAAAGTATAAGTAGAGCAGGGTGAGGCACAAAGGTCCAATTTGACTTTGAGAAAATAAAAATTATATGTGAGAACCAAACAATTATATCACGACAAATAACACATTTCAAACGAACTATTATCTGACTACGTTCAGTTAAAACTAACAGCTACTTTATCATTGTAAAAATGTGCTTTTTTGATGTCTTTCAAAAATTTGTTATCTAGTCCTTATGTACTCTATAGGCAGGGTAAGTTGGAACGGAGATGGAAACAGGTTAATGTCTTATTTTAATTTTAAGGTATTTTAAAAATAATTACATTTTTAACTAATGCTATAAAACTACCAATGAAAGAAAATACTTTTATTGCGGATTTTCAAAAATTACCGTTTATCTCCCGATAGCAAAGCCATAAGAATCAAGGTTATAGCTCGTTATACATCTTTTTCCCTCTACTTTCAAATATTGTTGTTAAACCATGCTTAATTTACTGGTTCTGGCACATCGGTGGTGGACCTTTTAAACCTTCATCTATTACTATCGATAAATTCTGGGAAATTATAACTGGGAAAATGTTATTCGACAAAATGTCCTTTTGATCAATACTAAATTAGGTTCTGAATTGAAATAACATAATAAAAAAATAATATAACCTAGAAAAATGTTTTATAAATACCAATGAGTATATAATTAGACAAATGAGATCGTTCATAGCACCGCGATTGAGAAAAATATGATTTGCAAAAAAAGAGTGCTATAACGCCAAAAAGTGCTATTTCATATTAGCAGTTCAAAAAGTTGATATTTTGAGTGTCTATTAGTAACACTTGCGGCCCGTTTTAATAAACTTTTGTGTATAAATAAAACTACGAATAAAACTACTACTACAATTTAATCATAATTAATAATATTCACGTAAAACATCCTATTGAACATCTATCAAAAACGTTTGACATTTGACGTATTAGCCACCGTCCATTGTTTGATTCAAATTACGCTTCTACAAAAATGTTTCAAATTAAAAATGTAAAGTTTCTACGCGATTTTGAAATAATATCTCACCTTCGACAACCTACTGATTGGCACGAATTTTTCAAGACTAAGACTGGCCAAATCGGTTTAGCCGTTTTCGAGTATTAGCGGATCATTTTATCGAGAGCCTCCATTTTTATATATAAGAAGATAAAACAATTTTTTTATGAATTTACCTCCTGTTCATGGTTTGCAAACACATTCCCCAGACACACAATCTGAATCGAGTGGGCAATCATGGTTAGTCATCTGCACAACGGACGCTTCTCACAAAGTTCTCCCGAATAACCATCAGGACATGTGCAGTCTGTGTAAGTGCCGTGATCCGTGCAGGTTTCCACCATTGTAACACGGTGAACTCAAACATTGATCCAACCTCTATAAAAAAAAAGAGTGCGCGTAAGGTTCACATGTGATTGAAGTAAA